AAAATCTTTAAAAAAAAAAAAAAGGGACGCCTGGGTGGCTCAGTTGGTTAAGCAGCTGCCTTCGGCTCAGGTCATGATCCCAGCGTCCTGGGATCGAGTCCCACATCGGGCTCCTTGCTCGTCAGGGAGCCTGCTTCTCCCTCTGCCTCTGCCTGCCATTCTGTCTGCCTGTGCTCGCTCTCTCTCCCTCTCTCTCTCTGACAAATAAATAAATAAAATCTTTTAAAAAAAAATTAAAAAAAATAAAAATAAAAAAAAAAAAGTGTGAGGCTATTACACAAGGATTTACTTCTCATTATTCCTCCTCCCTTGATGTGTCATCCCTTCTAGCTGCTGTGCCATTTTCTCTAATCTTTTTACAATAAAACTCAAAACTATTGTCTCTGGTTGATGATTCTGCTTTCGTCTATCCTATTTTTTTGGCACACTCCAGTCTGGCTTCTACGTTTTTCCTCCCAGTCTTAACTGAGTTATAATTGACATGTATGTTTAAGGAGTACAATATACTGATTTGATAAATGCATACATTGTGAAATGATTACCAAAAGAAGTTTAGTTATCATCCATTAGTTCATATAGTTACAATTTTATTCTTGTGATAAGAACCTTTTTTTTTTTTTCCAAGTAAACTCGGTACCCAGTGTGGGGCTTGAACTCACAACCCCGAGATCAAGAGTCTCATGCTCTACTGATTGAGCCAGCCAGGCACCCTGTTTTTCTTGTGATAAGAACTTTTAAGATTTTTGTTTTAGCAATTTTCAAATATGCAGTGAAGAATCGTTAACTATGGTTGCTATGTGGTACATGACAGCGCCACAACTTGTTACAAGTTTATACTTTTTGACCACCTTTACCCATTTGGGCTTCTGTCTTTTACATTCTGCTAAAACTTCCTGTCCGGGTCTCCAATGACTTCTGTATTGCCAAATCCAGTAGTCATCCTTTTGGCCTCCTTGTATTTCGCAGCACTTGACACGGAGGAGCCCTTCCCTTTATTAAGACACTTGACTTCCTAAATACCACAGTCCTCTAGTTTTTCCTCCTTTCTCCTATGCTTTCCCTTCTTATACTAAGATAGTCACTACATTTGATCTACACAGTCTTGGTAGGTAATATCCAGTCCTAAGGCTTTAGATACTACTTATGTGCTCATGAAATCTTAATTTATACATCTAGCCTGTTATTTTACCCGCTGGACTTCAGATTGCCTATTTGTACTCTTTTGGAATATCCAATAAGTGTCTCAGTCTTTGCCATTTCATTTAATGGTGCAATCATCCATCCTGTTGTTCAAGCCAAAAAACCTGAGAAACATCTTAATTTCTTTTTTATTCTGCATCTAATCAAAAGGCAGACCGGTTGACTTTTGACCTTCAAAATATATCCCAGGCTAATCACTGGGAAATAAAGTCAAATAACAAATAATCCCTTCCTTCCAAAAGTTTATAATAGACTGGCAAACTAATTAGGAATTAAGCACAGTGTCATAGGTATTAAAACAGAATTAAGCATGGGAGCATTGAGGAGGGGCATTTGCATCAGCATCACCAAGGTTGGGGAATTAGAAGGCTTCCTAGAGGAAGTGATGTTTGAGCTCTTGGAAGCAGGTAGAAGCCATTTTAGACAAGAGAACTGTGTTTTCAAAGGTAAATACTGTTACAGTACAGACTGGTTAGCTGGGGTCTTCAAGTGTGGCTGCTGTAATGTTTTTTTGAGGATTACTGGCTGGAGGAATGGACAGGGGCCAGATCCTGAAAGGTGCTAAGCTAGGGTGTGAAGTGCATTCTGAAAGAAAATTCTAGGTTTGTAGTGCTCATTTGAGAAGCTGGGAAGTTAAAGACAGATCCTGAATTTAAACCTGAGTTAGTTGACGATGCCTTTAAGAACACTGAGGCAAAGGACTACAGGGATCACTCTGGAAATAGTATAGTTATAGAGGATGAATTAAAGAAAGACAGCATCCAAGAAAAGCAGATCAATTAGGGGACATAGTCCAGGTGAACCAAAGAGGGTCTATACTAAGGAAATGGTCCTACTTTGAATGGAATTGGATTTTAGAAATAGGACTCAACATACCAGTTTTGCTACCAACTAATTACATAATTAACGTTTGGGCAAAAAACCCTATTTAGGGACACCTGGGTGGCTCAGTTGGTTAAGCCGCTGCCTTTGGCTCAGGTCATGATCCCAGAGCCCTGGGATTGAGTCCCACATCGGGCTCCTTGCTCAGCAGGGAGCCTGCTTTTCTTTCTGCCTTTGCCTGCCTCTCTGCCTGCTGTGTGTACTCTCTCTTTCTCTCTCTGGCAAATAAATAAAATCCTTAAAAAAAAAAACAAAAAAACCTGCTTACTTAAATGTAGGTAAAAGTATTTTTTCTATTTGCGTCCGTTAGACTTAAGCTTATTGTGCTAAGAAGTGGTCTAAAATAGAAGGATTGGGTATTTTGCTTTGTCCTCTTAAGGTAAAAAAAGAGAATTAGTTACCTTTTTACATTCGATCATTTTGTTGCCAAAACAGTACTATAGACAATGTAGTCCAGTGGTAATGGGCTCTACAAATAGATTGTTCAAATTCTAGTTCTTTCTCAGTGATTCTTCATCTTGGGCAAGTTTCTTAACCTTCATGTGTATCTTTTTTTCCTCATCTTTAAATGATCAGTATCGTAATAGCATCTACCTTCAAATATACATGTTTTTTACATGTATAAAGAAGGGGATACTAATACACAGATGTGATTTCAACAAAAAAGTGATAATAGTGGCTGTCTCAAGGAAAGAGTGCAGGGTAACTTGGGGACAAATGTGGGAGGAAAGCTTTTCCCTGTAAATCATTTCTATATCTTTTGAGGTTTGATCCATATGAACATGTTACCTGTTCAAAAATTAGTTAAAAATTTAGAATTGTACTTATTTCACACAGCTATAAAGGATAGTTAATACATGTAGGGTCCTTAGAATACCTTTTGCAATATAATAAACAGTGAATGTTGGCTGTCATCATGATCATTATTATCAGTGATGCAGGGATTTGGAGGTATTAAATACACTGGGCCTCTACTGTCTGTTGTAATAAGGAAAAATGGAGCTGCATCCTATATTCTGTGAGCTTTGATTAGGACAAAAGTTGG